ATATATATTATGTACAAGTTTAAGACTTTGTTTCGTGATATTTATCTTAACTCTTAAATAAACATTTGAACGTAACATAAGCCTTTACGTATATCATCTATTTATTAACCTTTGCGGGTAGAGTGTTCTTCATGGGATTTTATATATCAAGACATTAAAAGTCTCTTCTTCCTCCTCAGACCCTAGGAGTCTATGAACGATTTTTTATCGTTGTTAGAGGAAGTGCAGGCTTGATTGGAATATTGAACTTCGTGATAATCAATATCATTAACGTCATGCTTCTTCAACTGAACTGATAAAATCTTAAGCTTGTATTATCTTTTCTTATTGTTACTAACTATCTGCCATTAGCGGAGTGCTACTTTTTTCAGTATTTTTACACAACATGCGGCTTTGTGTAATACAAACTGAGCATTTCTCAATAAAACATGGATGGAAAAAATATGAAACGACAAAGAAAAAATTTAAGAAAATGGTCATAATAAAAATAGAAGAAAAATGATCATAATAAAAAAATATTTGAAACTGAAGCTGTGCTTCTTGTATTGTTTGCATTTGGAGAAAAGAACATACAAAAATTGCTATTTTCTTAGAATAGTTGACTGTTCTTATAAAACAAAACTTACGCCTAACTCGTCATGCTTATAGAATAAAATTGCTAATACCTAAATTTACCTAAAATGTTATAGAACTGATGATGTCTGAGTTTACCTAATTTATAGAATAGAATTACTAATTCAAAATCGTATCTGCTTGTTATTATATAATAGAAGTGATGATACACAAACTTAACTTATAGTTTTTTTTAAATGTAAATACTAATAACTAAGTCTGCGTAGAACAGAAGTGCAGGTTTTCAAGCATGTACTTAAATGTGATCAAAGAATAGGCTTCATCAGGTTGAATGCGCGCAAATCAAATGATAAGATAATTTATAGATATAAAGGGAAAGCGAAAAAAAGACGGTTTTATCAAAATCGACGACTCAAATAATAAAGTATAGGCTGGGTTTGGGGGCAATAAAAATGTAGTTTAACCTAGACTGTAATTGTCTCTGTACTTTACTTGCGTTTGAAGATAGCTGTATATCAGGAAGGACAGGGAGCTTCAGTAGTTACTTGTTAATTGGACAAACACTAAGTCTTGTGTAAATCGATATGCCCTAGTCCTATATTTGTAATATACGGATTTAAGTAAGAAAAGGATGTCATAACTGTCACACAATAAACAACTAATCCGTTTCTACAATATCTCCAGAATATGACCTTATCCCAAGATAATGCTTAACAAACATCATATACTTCTGCATGTCATAACTCGGTATACATAGAAACAGTATCACAACAAAGAGCTCAACACAAACAACAACTAGAAATGTACAGCCGTTTAGAACAAAACATCTACACAAACAACAACTAGAAATGTACAGCAGTTTAAAACAAAACATCGACACAAACAACAACTAGAAATGTACAGTCGTTTAGAATAAAACATTGACACAAACAACAACTAGAAATGTACAGCCGTTTAGAACAAAACATCGACGCAAACAACAACTAGAAATGTATAGCCGTTTAGAACAAAACAACGACACAAACAACGACTAGAAATTTACAGCCGTTTAGAACAAAACATCGACATAAACAACAACTGGAAATGTACAGCGTTTAGAACAAAACATCGACACAAACAACAACTAGAAATGTATAGCCGTTTAGAACAAAACATCGACGCCGTTTCTTGAGTTATACCCACTTTCCACTTGGACCTGTAACCTTTTAACTTCGGCCCGTAAGATACTTTTGCGGCCAAACACTGTGGAAGGTCATTAGGAGCTGAGTGTTGAAAGCGGGTAACAGAAAACACCCGTACCGCCACCACTTTTGCCGCTCGCTACCTCTTCCTACAAAGTCACCCTAACCATCGTACAGTGTATACCATGTCTTAAGTATATACATATACAAAACTTTTGGTGTGGTAATAATGAATACTGTAATAATATATTATGTTATAATAAATTGTGTGAAAATTTGGATTTTTGTATTATTTATCATACCATCTATCCACACTATATTTTAAGTCCATAATCCAGACAAAGAACGGGTACCTCAGTTTATGTGGTATGAGCTATAATATGTAAGGCCTCGCTGATCAAATATACCGCGATGTATAACCTATAATCCGTACGGTCTCGATGATCAACTATACAGTGTTTTATAAGCTATAATACGCAAGGTCTTGCTAATTATATTTAGCACGTGTCAAAACTTAAAGTATATGTGACATAATGTGTTACTTCATGATCAGAATGTTGTAGACTGAAGGATAACATACTGATGTATTGCTAATCATACTTGATACGTGTTAAAACGTAAAGTATACATGACATCAAGAATAGCTTCATGGTCAGAGTGTACATATTATAGACTGAAGGATAACATACTGAAATATGACATGAATTTTGTTTATCAAATGAATCGTATTGTAGTATTTAAAGAAATGAATGAGGTATATTGCACAAGGCATGCTGTATACTTCTATATAAATATTTTACGATCTAGTAAAAATAATGCAGTTTTATCATTAACTTTCAATGTTGTTGATCAACTAGACCATACCTTGTAATTTACATGGTGTGCATTATGCATTTATTATGGTCTGAACGCCTTTTCTGAGTTGGCAAAGCATTACTGTAATTAAAGATACTTGTTAACATTACTTTTTGTGCTCAGACCCTTAGTATAACAGTACTTAAATCATACCAATGAGCTCTGTAATGAGCGAAATACATCGTCGGCAATGGAAATGGCGGATAAAGTGTGGTTGAAATACTATTATACACTCTTCTTCTTCTTCAAAAATAAAGGAACTGAATAAAGGATTTAGTATTAAAAATATAATAGGCTTGACACTAATGTCCTATAACAAGTATAATTAATTAGATTATGCATTGGGACTTACATCAAATAGAGCATACCTTGTAATTTACATAAAATCAAGTATTTCTTGGAATTTACATCAAGTAGGGCATACTTTGTAATTTACATAAAATCAAGTATTTCTTGGAATTTACATCAAGTAGGGCATACTTTGTAATTGAGATCAAGAGGGGCATTCTTTGTACTTTACATCACATAGAATATGTTTTAAACTATGCAGAACAGCACTATCAATGATCTAACCTACACTGTATGTATGAGTAGATACAGGGTTGAGTATACTATTTTAAACAATTTTGAATATGTAAATCAGTAAGTCACGTGACAACCACAGCCGACATAAAGTCGCTGTGAAATGGCATGTATCAGAACTACATTTTGGCATTGTTGGGTGTTACGTAGGTAGTGTGATGTTACCGAAAATCGATTGCTTTGGAGAAGGGTATGTGACAGCCCTTACCAACACAAGATAATCATACACTTAGATCACATAAAGATTAATCCAGATTGAGGATTTAGAATTTTCAAGATTATAATATCCTTTAATCTTAATGGCATTGAATTGGAAGAATAAGAATATGGATTAGCTTAGGAAACTAGGAGCTCTCTATAAAGAAACCTACAACAAGTCGTATCACATCCGTGGTAAGCAAAGTGCGGCACCTTGTAACAAGTGAGAATCCACGGGCACAAAGTTCAGTGGTAAAAGCTGTCCACATTCCCCAGGCAACAGTATGCAACATAAGTTTGTTTCTTTTAGAGCAAAACCGGATTTTAGCGCTATAATCGCAGAGACTTACAGCTGTCCCACAGAGGGACTGTAATAATATAAGAAGAAAGATCTGTGTGTGGAAAAGAAACAAAAGTCACATGTACCAAGTTGTTTCCATCACATATCTCATCAGTGTTGACTAGCTGTCTTTTTTCTCTAACCTAGTCTATCACTGCTAAATTAGGGATGGCTATTGCAGATAGCCATCGAGTAACTTTGCGTAAAATTCAACAAACAAAAATCTATTTTTCTGTCTGCTTATCCATTCTTCTATCTATACTTAGCTGTTCGTTTTTCAATCAACCGTGCAAGTAGGTTTGAATTTTTCTAATGTTGCTAATCTGTTTTGTTATAATTTAAACTTTCGGTGATTTATTGTTATACAGTAATGAGAGAACCAAGTTAAGCAAGAAGCTATAGTATCTGGGACAAACACTTAAGAAATATGAATTAAGACAAGCCAGCTAAAAACACTCCATACACGTCGAATGTTCTCCAGTCGCCTTTGTCGAGTCTCTTTTGCCATAATATGTTATATGCGTCTCGAAATGTACAGTATGTTATATATAAATAACAAGGTTATATATAAAAAAAGATTCATATAGAGTTGAAAAAAGTCACGATTGAAAGTGCTCTTAGAATTAGTTTTAGAAGTATTTCAAACTTCTTAAAACATATCTCTCTTTGAGGATTTATATACCATCTCAGTGGAATAAGTGGCCTGTGTTTGCACACGTTCTGCCATTATAGGTTCGTTAACGTTATCATGACGCAAGTCTCATGAATGCTCCGAAACTATTTTATACCTAAAGTTCTACTTGTTTTAATAAATATAAATTCACTTAGAATTATAACAGAGGATGCCATAAGTTTTTGTTTTGTTTTTAATTATGCACAAAGCTACACAAGGGCTATCTGTGCTCTGCCCACCACGGGTATCGAAACCCGGTTTCTAGCGTTGTAAGTCCGCAGACATACCGCTGTGCCACTGGGGGGCGATGCCATAAGTAGTATAAAGTGAACTTACACAAAAAGCTATAGATAATAATTTTTTTTAAGTAGTTAGGAGTTTTAAAGGAGTATTTGTATGAAAATAATTTAAGTCTTCACTAATACCTTGTTTCTGGAAATAAAGAGAATTTTTAATACTACGTTATTTCATGGAAATAATTATATAATGCTTATATATATATTTAATATTTGTTAAGTGAAAGAAAAGTATAGAAATCTTACATAAACTTACTTTTTTTATAAGCTGAATCATAAATGTAAGATTTGGTAATATTTACCCATAGAAGTGTATGAAGGAAGAAGCTCAGAACCAGCGTAAAGTCTGCTACCCGATGTTTCCGTGTAAACCCCGTTGCTCTCGTAGAAGAATGGGGAATTATTTGGTAAGTTACAGGAGGCTACGGACGGAACTTCAAGCGGCAAGCTGAAGGAGTTCCCGAAAGGCGTTGAATTCGACGAGAGTCCCGCTCTCACCGAACTGGAAGTAGAGGGAAATTCATTTAATTCAAGAATGTCTTTCACTTTAAAACATCGGCTGGCGTGAGAAATTTTCATTGTTCGGGAAATACCTAACTACCAAATTAGTAACATACTCTGGTTATAACTGTAATGAACGATCTTAGACCACTACTTCCCTATAACATACTCTGGTTATAACTGTAATGAACGATCTTAGACCACTACTTCCCTATAACATACTCTGGTTATAACTGTAATGAACGATCTTAGACCACTACTTCCCTACGTAAAAAAAATGTTTATTTTATACGGATTTATTTTCTCGTCTTGTTACACGGTGATTTGTTACGTTAATGTAATCCATTCGATGTTTACTAAACGCCACAACATCATTTTAACGAACGGTTTGTTTTAAACGTTTTACTATAGAATTGCTCAATTTACGGGACATTAGTCAGTTTCTTAAAATGTTCACGTGACTTAGTTGGAGCATAATTAAACATTGACCACATCAATGAATCTAAATCATTTTTTAAACAAGGTTATGCTGGTTCTTAAACAGGTTCTACTGTGATTGGTCGGTCACTAAATCCAGTAATCAATTTTACTTGAATCTAGAATCTAGCTGTTCATATGTCGACAAACCGCCCGTGGCGTTCAAACTTGTGATCACGTATGTACGTTTATTCGGTTCTCTTTGATCCAATCTGAGAATTCATTGTTAGAAAGACCGAACTTGGTCAATGCTTTAGACCAGTTCTTCTGTCTGTATGGTTTTTAGACTTTTAAGATATATTACTTTATCTACGCTGCAGCTACGTTGTATTGATTAGTTTGACTGAAATGTGTTTAGTTATAAATGCAATAAGCATCTTACACATCTGTTTTTTTTAAAACTTTGAATGTTCTCAAAATATCGTATAACATTCCAATATGAAAAACAGTATATTCACACTCGCAAAATTACGCATATAGATATCCATCCAGTAAGAAACACTTGCTATGTAGGCATGAATGTTACATATATTCATACGAATAAATCAAGTTATATTGATGCTACTATTAACTGTAATAATACAATTTGAAATCATTTTTACAAAAGTTATACATTTTACCAAAAAAAAAAAGCCTTGATGTACAGATAAAATAAACTAGATTATTATATTTTGATTTTAGTCAAGTTTTTTATTTAATGGACCAATTAAATAGAGACTTTGTTCACGACTTCTTTAGCCTCTCATCTCAGTCTTGACCTCATTCATGTACGTGCCATAGTGTTAGCAGGCATTAACAAAAGTTCCAGTACATATAGACAGATAAATTTCAGTCAATAGGATGCATGTTTAACGATGCAAGAGATGTATTTAATTACATTGCTATTTGTTACATATAACTATACTTTTTTTAAATAAAATGCAAGTGTAGATTTTTGCTTCTATATTGCTACATAATAGTAGACGTTTGTGTTTCAACTTATTTGTAGATATTTGTGTTTATGTTTTGATGTAACTATAGTTGTTTGGTTCTGTGTTTCTACGTGATAGGTGTTTATTTTTATGTGTTTGTAAACGTTTATTTCTATGTTTCTACGTAACTTTAGATGTTTATTTTTGTTTCTACGTGGATGTAGATATTTATATCCATGTATGTTTCTACGTAACCGCAGGTTTTTATTTCTGTGTTTCTACGTGACTATAGATATTTATATCCATGTTTCTACATAACTACAGATGCTTATTTCCATGTTTTTACATAACTGCAGATATTTATTTCCATATTTGTAGATAATTGCAGATGTTTATTTCCATGTTTTTATATAACTGCAGATGTTTATTTCCATGTTTTTACATAACTGCAGATGTTTATTTCTATGCTTTTACATAACTGCAGATGTTTATTTCCATGTTTTTACATAACTGCAGATGTTTATTTCCATGCTTTTACATAACTGCAGATGTTTATTTCTATATTTTTACATAACTGCAGATGTTTATTTCCATGTTTTTACATAACTGTAGATGTTTATTTCCACGTTTTTACATAACTGCAGATGTTTATTTCCATGCTTTTACATAACTGCAGATGTTTATTTCTATATTTTTACATAACTGTATATTTTTATTTTTATACCCCCGTGTTAGTTGTACGTGCTTATTTGATGTTTCTACGTGGTTGTAGAAGTTTATTTTCATGTGTAGTTGTACGTGCTTATTTTTATGTCTCTACGTGGCTGTAGACGTTCATTTCTATGTTTCTACGTAACTGTAAATGTCTATTTCTATGTTTTACGTGACTGTAGATGTGCTTAATTCTATGTTTTTGTTTATCTGTAGATGTTTGTTTCTAAGATTTTACGTGGCTGTACATATTTATTTCCACTTCTCTGTGTAGTTGTACTTGCATATTTCTATGTGTCTCTGTGGTTGTAGACGTTATTTCTATGTTTCTACCTAACTGTATATATCTGTTTCTACGTGACTGTAGGTTTGTTTATTTCTGTGTTTCTATTTAGCTGTAGGTATTTGTTTCTACGTTTCTCGTTGCTGTACACATTTATTGTACAGCTGTATGTGTTTGTTTATATATTTCTACGTAGTTGTAGATGTATGTTTCATTATAAATTTTATTGCGTTTCTCTACGGATTTAGTTATAAGTATATATGTACTTGCGTTAAATTAAACGTTTTATTTTTACACAACTGTGGAAGTAGAACTTTTTTTAAAGATATAACTTAAGTTATTGCTAAGCGTTGATGATAATAATATTATTATGACATTTAACGTTTTCACATATGCGTTCACAATCATATGAAGTCGGAAATGTAAGCTTGAAAATAAGTCTTATTTTCAATTCTTCCTTAAGAAACTGTGTTTATATTGTAATATGTGTTATTTAGGAAGAATCCATATAAATTCACAAAAACTCCACTTCAGTAAGTCTCTTGCCCGGTATATGTTCATTAATGTATTAAGGATTATTAGATGAATTAATATTGTTTCTCTATTCCATGCTGAGAATATGGTGGGCTGTAACATATACCTAAGAAACTCTAATTGATTTTTTTATTACGTAATATGGATAATTAGGTGCTTAACGTCCTTGCAGGATTATAAAAAAATAAATGATGTTTAGTATTAGATTCTGATTTATATTTTCTGCTAACATCATATAGTATTCTCAACGATAATTCTACACATTAATTTTCTTTGTAAAGTAAGGAATATAAACTGTATTTAAATTGCACTAAAAATGCCATACAGTGGAAAGATGTTAATGACTCAAATTCGGATTACAAATACACGGAGATTCATAGATATATCTTTTTTTCTTTTAATTCAATCTCTATAGACACGACAAAGTTCACCACTCGATGAAATGCTCAAAAAGGTAGGGCAATATGCTTAAAAATGAGTTTCATAAAGCTTCATATAACTACGTAAGAAATAGGGCTATTCAAAGGTAAAACCAAAAACACGAATGAGTCATTAAAAGTTTATATTAAAGTGTCTGAACACACAGTTATAACATTAAGTAACTAAAATAAACCTTAAATCTTCCTTGCCCATGTTGTTTTTAGCAGCTTGGTATAAAGGATAAAACTCAGGATGCTGATATTGTTTACATTTGTATATGTATATGGTAAAGACATGCAACAACCAATAAAACAAAACTTGATTACATTACGCTCTCGGGAACGATGGTCACGTGACTCCTGTACACATCATTCAATGCATTCCAGTCTCCCAGAAGAACATATGTTAATGATCGCTATTCTACGAAAGTCGTGATGTATGTCGGGCATAAGCAACATCACGAAGCTCGGCTCGACTAGCCGCTGTGAACAATACACAATGTTCCTTTTCTTCATGAATGCTATGATGCTTGTCTATTTCGTATTTCAAATCTATTCCTTGTTGGCTAGAGACTTATTCATCTAAAAATAGAACACTTGTTAACAAGACAACTACGGATAAAGAAGGCAAATTACAACAAAAAAGCTGTCGTTAAAGGACAAAACATTCCGCGTAACAGGACAACTGAAAAGTTGATACCTTAGGTCTTTTAGTAAGAATAAATAATATAAATTCACTGCATGGTTAACAACGCCTAATACAGTATTTAGTTCTCGCTTGCCCAGTTTTTCGCTGTCACAAAGATAAAATATTGTTACTTCGTGTTCACAAACTGAAGATAGTCGAGTTTTTCTTTTCATATATGCAAGCTGGAAAAGGTTTTCCCAACTTGCACGTATGAAAATGAAAAGCGAGTACATGGCCTAATCAACAGAGATATGTCAAGTCTTGATCTTAAGGATAGTGTCCCTGCAATTTGTCTCACGATGGGACAGCGGTAAGTCTAGTGACTTACAACGCTTAAATTCGGGGTTCGATTCCCGCAGTGGACACAGCAGATAGCCTAGCGTGGCTTTGCTCTAAAAATGAACAAACTCTGCAATTTATCGAGCAGACTGAGAAAGTATGTATGTCACAAACACGTTCATCTATTCTACACGCAGTCACCACGTGCTTGCTTTACCTGTGGGTACGAAACGGTTTTAAACCGCCATCAATAATATTGTTAACCTTAGCGTGTTAAAAAAGTTTCCATTCTGGAAAAATGTAGATATGAAAAACATTTTGAAGAAATTATACGAGTTAAGTCTTACTCTCCACATTTAAGATTATTAAGTCTTAATTCTGAAGCAATCGTAACATTCTTAAAAAAAAAAAATAGAAGGTTGACCACATATCTAAATGAACAAAAACTTTGTGCGTCATTGTTATTTTTTACACAACCCCGTGGCTGATTAATTCTTTCCCTGCTTTATAAACAGTCAGTTTTATTCAAAGGCTCGCCGTAATCCTTGTTGACAGGTTGCGTGAAATAATATTTCTCCACGGTTGAGCTTCGAAGGTGTGCTGTGAGTCGCTACGTTTTTTATCATATGTTCGAACCTTTTTCAACTCCATAACGCGCCCGCTTGTTGTACTTGTCACAGTTAACATTTGTCACTACAG